GATTCGCAGATGGAAATTCGGTCCATGAGGTTTTTTTTCGTTAACTCGTGTGGCACCCATACATCGAGCTTCTTTTTGTATCCAGCCTTATTCAAATGGTTCCAAACGGTTTTTTGTGCAATCTTTAGCTCTTGGGCAATCGAAGCAGTGCTTACATGACGGTCGGACTCGACAATGTCCATGATTTTATTGATATTTTCGACAATTGGCCTTCCAGTGCGTGGTGCATCTTTGACATTGAAATTACCGGAACGGAATCGACGAAACCAAAATTGCGCGTGAATGGCTGTTACAGTATCAGGACCATAAACACTATTCACATTTTCAGCCGCCTGGCTTGCGTTTTCGCCTTTATCGAAGAAAAACTGTAAAATATAGCGTATTTTCTCTTTGCTAGTGTCCATCTTTGACGCGCGCTCAAACAAAACTGTGTCAATTAGTCACAAAACTGTCAGAAAAGTCTTTTTAGTACGAAATCTGTGGGGACTTTGAGCTCCCCAAAAGCGCATGCATCCGTTTTCCGTGCGGCGCTATAGAGCGCGCGCAAGTGTCACTCGTGCGGGAAAAAGGACCAACGAGTCAACAGTAATCGTTGGAAGCGCACACAGAGCTCACGAATATACGATCGCTAGTATATAGTTAGTCATTCCTTTTTGTCGTGTGTGACACCGCGAGATCTGCACGCGGTCGCGATTGTGCGAGAGCGGGCAGGCAGGAGCATCGGCTCCGTTCGACACACACACACATATACATACGAGTCCCGCAGTGGCTCATATGTCGTGCGAGCGCAGAGAACTATTTTTCTTGTTGTAAACGATAAGTTGTACCTGTGACTCACGTGCTCTGCAGCTGGCAGGCACGTGCGCAAATCGGCGACAGCACAACAGCGCCTAGTGAGAAAAGACTCCACGTTTTTGACAGAACCACGAATATTAGGTTCCTGGTCGACTCTGGATCCGTCGTTTCGCTGATTCCTCGGAAGTGCGTGCACAGGAAGCTCACTCCTACCGAACTACAACTATTCGCCGCCAATTCATCAGCCATCTGCACATTTGGCCAGCAGCCGCTCACCCTCGATCTCGGACTTCGCCGCGCATTAAAATGGTCGTTCATCATTGCTGATGTGAACTCAGCGATCATCGGAGCTGATTTTCTCTCACACTACGGTCTAATCATCGATCTCTCTCGACAACGCCTTGTGGATCCAAAAACCAGCCTTGCCACACAGGGTCAGGTATGTGAGACAACCATTTTTAGTGTCTCCGCAACCAGTCAACACAATCTTCCGAACTCACCACACCGAGAGCCATATGCCACACTACTGGACTCGCATGCAGCAGTCTTCGCACCAAGGCCAACTCCTTCAGCGATCCGCTTTGACGGGATCACGCATCATATAGAGACCACAGGACCTCCAGTGTTCGAGCGTCCACGACGACTTCTAGGTGACAAATTGGCAGCCGCCAAGGCAGACTTCGACCTTCTCTTACATCTAGGGGTCGTGCAACCTTCACGCAGTCAATGGGCGAGTCCGATACACATGGTGCAGAAAAATCAAGGTGGCTGGCGCACAACAGGTGATTACCGGCGTCTAAATTCTCAAACGGTTCCAGACAGATATCCGATTCCACGAATAGAGGACATCTTACAACAGCTGCACGGAAAAAAGGTCTTTTCCACGCTAGACCTAATCCGAGCGTATCACCAAATTCCTGTTGCACCGGAAGACGTCCCCAAAACCGCTGTCACGACACCTTTCGGCCTATTTGAATTCTTAGGCATGCCGCCTGGACTTCGAAATGCCACGCAAACGTTCCAACGGCACATGGACAATATACTGCGCGGGATCAACTTTGCTGCATGCTACGTAGATGATATCATCATCTTCTCAGACAGCCATGAAGAACATCTTCAACATCTCGATACCGTTCTCAGAGTGCTCCAAGAGAACAACCTTCCAGTCCACGCGACCAAATCCTTCTTTGGACAGGACTCTGTGCGTTATCTCGGCTACATTGTCTCACAGACTGGACTTAAACCACCACTCGACAGGGTAACAGCCATTCAACAGTTTCCAAAACCCAAGACCATCGCAGATCTACGTCGCTTCTTGGGGATGGTAAACTATTACCGGCGAGTATTGCCGAATGCCGCTCAACAGCAAGCTCCGCTAACCAAACACCTGAAGGAGGCGAAGAAGAGGGACAAGCGAGAGATTCCCTGGACAACGGAGACAGAGGCTGCGTTCCAGAAATGCAAGGATGCATTGACAGCTGCCACACACTCAGCCTTTCTCGCTCCAGATGCACCTCTCACACTGACGACTGATGCTGCGGACTCCGCTATAGGCGCGTCACTCGAACAGCAGATAGACGGACACTGGCAGCCACTTGGATTCTTCTCACGGAAACTCTCTCCAACCGAGCAGAAGTACTCTACATATGACCGAGAGCTTCTTGCTGTGTTCGCTGCCGTCAAGTTCTTCAGACACATACTTGAAGGAAGAGTATTCCAGGTACGGACAGACCACCGACCGCTAATATACGCTTTCAGCAGAAAGGCAGAAAAGAGTTCGCCACGCCAGCTAAGACAACTGGACTACATCTCGCAGTTCACCACGGACATAGTCCATGTGAAAGGCGAAAACAACGTGGTTGCAGACACGCTCTCCAGGATCAACGCAATTGAGATGCCAAGCACACTCTCAGCAGAAATCATCGCAAACGCGCAGGAAGCAGATCCAGAACTCGCAGACATTGTAAGATCCACGTCGCTCGAGCTGAACCACCTTCGAATCGAAGAAGAAGACATCTGGTGTGATGTCTCGATGGGCATCGTACGACCGTACCTACCACAACCACTTCGACGCAAAGCATTCGACGTCATCCATGGTCCGGCTCATCCGAGCGCTCGCTCAACGCTGAAGTGCATCAAACAAAAATTCATCTGGCCAGGCATCAACCAAGATGTTTCTCGCTGGGCACGTGAGTGTTTACCGTGCCAGCGATCAAAAGTCAGCAGACACAACAAACCACGACCTGAATATATCGAAGCAACGGACAACCGATTCAATCACATCCATTTGGACCTGATAGAGCTACCGCCTATAGGAGGTAACCGCTATTGCCTCACAATCATAGATCGTTTTTCCAGATGGCCAGTTGCACTTCCACTACCGAACATTGAAGCAGACACTGTAACATCCGCTCTCTTCAATCACTGGATATGCAACTTCGGGACTCCACTGACGATCACCACGGATCAGGGAACGCAATTTGAATCTGCACTCTTCCAGTCATTAGCGCGACTAATTGGTGCAACTCGGATTCGCACTACGCCGTATCATCCACAAGCGAACGGACTCATCGAACGCTGGCATCGCACCCTGAAGGCAGCACTAAGATGCCATGCACCAACACCGTGGCCAGACATCCTACCAACCGTTCTTCTTGGCCTAAGAGCATGCGTGAAGGAGGATCTGCAAGCGTCTCCAGCAGAGCTTCTCTTCGGCACAACACTACGGTTACCGGGTGAATTTTTTGTTCATGAGGATCCACCGGCTGATCCGTTTATATTTTTAGAAAAATTCCGCGAATACATTCGTAAGATCCGTCCAACGGCGACAGTTCATCACACGAACGCGAAACCGTTCGTTTTCCGGGATCTGTACACTTGTTCGCATGTCTTCCGTCGCATTGACTCTGTTCGCCGGCCGCTCGATCCACCGTATTCGGGTCCTCATCGAATAATCAGGCGCATAACAGACCGTGTTTTCGTGGTGGATATCAATGGTGAGGAAAAAACTCTATCAACAGAGTCGTTAAAACCCGCGTTCATAGTGCTGGAGAACAACGGCTCTGAACAGCCACAAACGAGTGATCCGTGTCCGTCCACTTCATCCGCGCCACAACTCAAAACGTACGCGAAAAAAAAGAATGTTTCGTTCCTCTCTGTCTAGAGAGGCACTGAGGGGGGAGCACCTATGGGGACTTTGAGCTCCCCAAAAGCGCACGCATCCGTTTTCCGTGCGGCGCTATAGAGCGCGCGCAAGTGTCACTCGTGCGGGAAAAAGGACCAACGAGTCAACAGTAACCGTTGGAAGCGCACACAGAGCTCACGAATATACGATCGCTAGTATATAGTTAGTCATTCCTTTTTGTCGTGTGTGACACCGCGAGATCTGCACGCGGTCGCGATTGTGCGAGAGCGGGCAGGCAGGAGCATCGGCTCCGTTCGACACACACACACATATACATACGAGTCCCGCAGTGGCTCATATGTCGTGCGAGCGCAGAGAACTATTTTTCTTGTTGTAAACGATAAGTTGTACCTGTGACTCACGTGCTCTGCAGCTGGCAGGCACGTGCGCAATAAAGGGACCAAAGAAGAACACGCCTAGGTTGATTTAGGAACCTACCCTCCACTTGCATCAGCGAGAGAGCAAGAGGACACAAAAACCCTAAAAATCTCATCTTTGTAACGCCATCTAGTGGAACCCGATCAGACTTATACAACACGAAATACAGATAACTAAAGCCATCTATTGGAAAAATAATGGATTTCTTTTTACTACACCTGATATAATCACTAGACTATGCTAGGAAGCACTACCGCTCTTGTATCCTGATTGTTAAATAAATTAATATTCTCGAGCACTGTTTTTCAATAGAAAAGTAACAGATGCTGGCCGAAATCTGAAAGTATTCGTTATTCCAAAACGTTTTTGGTGTATTTCCGATATTTACGGATATTCTGCAGAGTGCCGGGCATTATTACTATTGTGTAACGGATTGCATAATTATATTACATTAATAATGCCGCCATTTTTCACAATATCTTTGAATATAGTACTCAGAAATATAGTAAACATATTTCAAATACACGAAAACTCGCCGATTTCAAGCAAAACTCATTTATTTACTACCCATACAATATTCCTATGTCTACAACTTTAACAATACATACTCTGAACAACATAAGAATTATTTTATAATGTTTCTAAATACGCGAGGCGGGCCTACGAGCAGCGAAATATAAAGAGAAGTCTATAGCGCGAGATTCCCGCGGCCGGCGGAGTTAGCTATATGTATCGCTCGGCGAAGACAGAGACAACAGACATCGTCTGCTCTTGTCTAAAGCCCGACACCGGCTGAAGCACCGAACGCTCACGGACACGGAGTCGCTCGTTGTGTACGCTACCCCTCACGCGCTGTGCTGTGCTACCGGAGTGCTTTTCTGGCATCACTGGTATAGACTATGTTTCAAAATTACTAATAATGGAGTATTATAATGATTAAGGGCGGAATTACGATGAACTTTACGTAACGGGACATGAAGTGGCGTGACGTGAATTTGACGTTTGAGGTTATATTTGACATTACGATCACCGTAACGTGCCGTAATAATGAATTCTGCTGTGAGGCATTATCAATTTGTAAATTTAATTTTGGCCGGGTATTTGTATCTTCAATTGCGGAAGAGGAAACTAATATGAACCATTGGTGTGAGAGATATTTTTCGAAGAAGAATTCAGTTTGGTGACGGGCATAACCTAGTGGAAGAACTCCGTTTTTGTAATCCACACTTTTTTTTTATTTACACGAGGATGAATGTCGAAAGGTAAGAATTAGCGACTATTTGGCAAAAAATATAATCATTTTACAAATTAATATGTCTGCTTTTTTACATTGTTATACCTCTTGGTCTTGTTTGGTCTACTGATAAAGAAGTGCAAAAGGTTAATAGTTTTCTGACATAGAATTTATTTTTACTTTACTATATATTTTAAATATATTTTTGAATATATATTTTGAATATATTTTACTATATATTTTGAATATATTTTATTTTAAATTATATGTTTATTTTTTTAGATTTGAATACTTGTTGAGCTTGGTTGGTCCACTTTTAAAGAAACGAGAAATATATACTGCTCTTTCACTCACTCAAAGGCTTGCTATGACCATGAAGTAAAATTACCAATGTTTACTTTATTTTAATTTATCAATTTCTCAGAGTCGATTTAATTTATAAATTTGTTTTACAGGTTCTTGGCAGCAGGAGACAGCCAGAATTCTTTGAGTTTTTCTTATAGATGTGGCCAGAGCACTATCTCTGAGATATTGGCCGCAACCGTTCGAACTTATTTGTGTATTAAAAAATATGTTTGTGAAGCCTGCTTTAAATGATGCAGAGTGGCTTGAGTTATCTGCTGAATTTTGGAAAGAATGGCAGTTTCCTTATTGCGTGGGAGCTATCGATGGGAAGCACGTTCAAATACAAGCCCCACAAGCTTCTCAAATTTATTTTAATTACAAGAAGACGTTTAACATGGTTCTACTAGCAGTTTGTGATGCACACTACAATTTCATTATGCTGAATGTAGGAGCAGAAGGCTCACAAAGTGATGGCGGAATTTTTCAATCGTCTGAAATGGGTCGGCGATTAAGTGACGGATCCCTTAACCTAACCAAATTCACGTTATTAGGTGCGCAACTAAGTTCTCGCTGTTTTTTTGATGAAAATGCAACTTTATTGTGAAAAAATAGTTACAAATGAATCATTCAAAATATTGCCCATCGCTAGCGACAACTTTTTCCCATCTTTCTGGCAGAGCTCGAATACCGTCACGGTAGAAGTGTTCGTCTTTTGAGGTTATCCATAAATCAAGCCATTTTGAGATGTCTTCACTTGAGCGGAACTGCTGATTAGCCAGACCGTGTGCCATCGAATGGAACAAGTAATAATCGGACGGCGCCATATCTGGGGAATATGGCGGGTGGGGTAGGACTTCCCATTTGAGCGTTTCTAAGTAGGTTTTAACGGGTTTGGCAACGTGAGGCCGAGCGTTATCATGCTGTAGAATCACTTTTTCGTGCCTCTGCTCGTATTGTGGCCGCTTTTCGCGCAATGCTCGGCTCAATCGCATCAATTGAGTTCGATACCGTTCCCCAGTGATGGTTTCGTTCGGTTTCAACAGCTCATAATAAATAACACCGCCCTGGTCCCACCAAATACACAGCAAAACCTACGCAGCGTGAATATTCGGCCGAGCCGACGACGTAGAAGCATGACCGGGCAGTCCCCATGATTTTGTTCTCTTTGGGTTGCTGTAATGAATCCATTTTTCATCACCCGTAACGATGCGATGAAAACTTTTCCTTTTTTGCCGCTGGAGCAGTTGTTCACAGGCGAAAAAACGACGCTCAACGTCTCTTGGCTTCAAATCATAAGGAACTCAAGTTCCTTGTTTTTGAATCATTCCCAACGCATGCAATCGCTTGGAAATGGCTTGGCGGGTAACTCTTAATGCTGAAGCAAGCTCTTTTTGCGTTTGGCACGGATCCTCATCGAGCAATGCCTCCAGTTCAGCGTCTTCGAAGGTTTTTGGCCTTCCTTCACGCGAACGGTCGTCAACATCAAAATCACCGTCTTTGAAGCGACGGAACAAATCACGGCACGTTGTTTCACTTAGAGCAGCATCTCCGTAAACTTTTTGGAGTTCTCGATGCGCTTCAGCCGCCGTTTTCTTCGAATGAAAGAAGAAAAGCAACACTTCCCGCAAATGACGATTATTTGGCACAAAATCAGACATTTTCACACAACCAAAAGTATATGACGCAAAAACAAAATCACTAACGTGTCAAAGCGGTTTGTTTACCATATGTCTAAGCTTGGTTCATGTTTTGGTTATGTCACAATCGACCAGCACTTACTACTGGAGCCATCTCTTGAAAAACAGCGGGAACTTAGTTGCGCACCTAATACTTGCCAGGAACTAATATTAATATGCCCTACTTCCTTCAAGGAGACGCAGCTTTCCCTCTAAAGCCTTTTCTTATGAAATCCTATGGCGAGCGTAATATATCCCATAACGAGTCTGTGTTTAACTTGCGGTTATGCAGAGCAAGGAGGGTAATTGAAGATGCCTTTGATATTTTAGCTGCTCGTTGGAGAATTTTTCGTCGCCCTATTATTGCCAAAGAAGACAATGTGGAAAGCATCATTGAATGTGCCGTTTGCCTCCACAATTTCATCCGCAAGACAGGTGATACAAAACTCAACTTGCAGTATTGCCCCCCTTCTTTTGTGGAGCATGAATTGCCAACTGGCGAACTAGTAGAGGAAGCATGGCATGACATTGTTGCTGGAGAAAATGGAGCTATCATTAATCCACGGATCCATGGTCCACGGATGGCACGGGGTGCAAGAAATGCTGCTCTTAGTGTCATACAACAGAGAAATGTACTGAAGGAATTCGTGGACGCACCTGGGGCTATGCGCCATCAAGATATTATTGTAAGGATCCGGCAAGGAATTATCCCCCCTCAGGATGTACATTTACTGTCATGATAGTTTTGAAATCAAATAAATCGAGATATAAAACATGAATAGAACGTTTTTATTTTTAAATAAAATGTAAATGGTAAACAAAACAACAGATTTAAATAATTTATCTAATATCAACATATAATTAATCTGTTATTTTCAAATCTTCAGCCTCCTCCTCGCAATCTTGAATGATGGATCTAAATTTCCTCTTGTACTTTAATTTTAGTGCAATATTTTTTAAATTCTTGAGGCAAGATTCAACATTCTTACTAATTAAGACATCTGGATCATTAATGTCGATTGAAGGTAGTGGTGGTAGTGATGGTATAGGAGGAGCAGCCATAGATTTATTGAGATTAGCAAGAGTCTCTTTGAACATCTCAGTAGTTTCGTTCATCTTTGACTTCTTACATCGACCTGTAAGTCCTAGGTACGGCATGCTTGCAGCTGTTGATGATCCAGATGAAGATAACGGGAGGGCAGAGTAAGTAGCAAATGGAGCATTAACTGGAGCACTAACATCATCTATAGTCTGCTCCTCTAATATTTCGACATTATCTGAGGATTCGGCCAATGACGGTAGAAGCGACATCTCTTCATCTGTGCATGATAATCTTGGTTAAGATGTAGGTACCGACGACGTTGGTAGGAAATTGTCCACAGATCTACAACCGGAAATAATTAATTATATCATGACAGTCAGAACAAATCACCATATACAATCGTCAATAAAATTATCGTATAGATAAATCCAAACAAAATTACTTAAAAAAAGAATAAAAAAACTCCAAGTACAGATTTTGAATTTATTCTCCCTAGTTTCCGCAGTCTTTTTAAAAATAAAAACATGCTGCGTCTCCAAAAAATTGCTCAATTTGATGTATCTTATAAGTAGGTTTATACGATATTTTTGCGGCATTGCGACATAACAAGGTTACTATGCATTAAATTTTGACTTGAATTTACCTATGTAATTATTTTGTTGACGAATGTATTAAACTTACTTCCTTTTCCTAATATGAGATGTCAGAAATGACATAGCATTATATGTTGGCCATTCTGGACGGGTTGAGGCTGCTACTCCAGACTCTTCTGCTCAAGAATGCGCTTCTCTTTTGTGAACCTCTCGCGAAGAGTTTGCCACCTGGCTGTACAATCTTTTACTGGTGCTAAAATCGTGACAAAAAAATCTATATGAACTTTAGGTTCATATAAATCAATCAAAAAGGATGAATAAATTACCATTGACTGTTTCGGCCACAATTTTTCATGCGGATTCTTTTATTCCGATATTCTTGAATCCTGCATGTCCTTTATTATATATTTCGGGATGTGCTCGCACACACTCTATTAATAAAATGTCGTTGATCGACATTTTCTGTACGACTTTTGTCTGTATGTTCCCGAATACACAACACAATGCCAAATGACATCTTTCAGTTCAAGTAAAACACGCTCGCAAAAGTCGAGAACGTTGATTGGCTGAAAGTGTCACATGAACAATCCGACTTGACAGAATGCAACATCTAAACTTGACATTGGTAAGCTTCACGTCGCGTTAAGTTCCAATATTTCACGCCACGTTACGTAAAGTCGATCGTAACTAGCCGCATATAAAACAATGTGTTTTAGGTTTTGTGTTACTTCACATCCCGTCGCGTCCCGTTACGTTAAGTTCATCGTAATCCCGGCCTTAGGGCGGCCAGCGGGTGGAGATTAGATTCCCAAATAAACCTCCATCCGCGGGGAGGGGGGGGGGTATTCAAATTCGTGACCCCGACGTGATTGTAAGCGAAGTGTCGAACTGGCATATCCAGTGGTTGAAGAGAGCAGTTACTATGGTATCTGCCTCGATGTTCGGTAACGGAAGTGCGACTGGCCATCTAGAAAAACGGTCAATGATCGTGAAGCAGTAGCGGTTATCTTGTACCGGCGGTAGCCTTATCAGGTCCAAGTGAATGCGGTTGAACCGGCTGTCCGCTGCCTCGATTGGGTTCAGGCTGTGGTCTGTTGTGCCTGTTGACCTTAGATTGCTGACACGGCAAATACTCGCGTGCCCAGTGAGGAATGTCACTGTTGATGCTCGGCCAGATAAATTTCTTCCTGAGGCTCTTGAGCGTGGAGCGAGCGCTCGGATGAGCAGGACCATGGATGGCGTCGAATGCCTTGCGTCGAAGCGGTTGCGGTAACTATGGCCGCATGATGTCTATTGAGACATCGCATCAGATGTCTTCTCCCTCAATTCGAAGATGGTTCAGCTCGAGAGAAGTGGATTGCACGACGTCCGCAAGCTCTGGATGCTCTCAAGCTCTGCTTGTTGAGCTTCTGCAATGATTGAAGCTGAAAGAGTGCTTGGCATCTCGATTGCGCTGATTCGAGGAAGAGCGTTTGCAACCACGTTGTCTTCGCCTCTCACGTGGACTATGTCCGTGTTGAACTGCGAGATGTAATCCAATTGTCTTAGTTGGCGCGGCGAGCTCTTTTCTGCTTTCTTGCTGAAGACGTAAGTCAGCGGTCGGTGGTCTATTTGCACCCAGAATGCTCTCCCCTCAAGTATATGCTTGAAGAACTTGACGGCAGTGAAGATAGCGAGGAGTTCTCGATCGTACGTGGAGTACTTCTGCTCGGAGGAAGCTTCCGAGAGAAAAATCCAAGTGGCCGCCAGTGTCCTTCTATTTATTATTCGAGTAACGCACCTATGGCAGAGTCAGCAGCGTCGATTGTCAGTGCGAGAGGTAGGTCTGGAACGAGGAAAGCTGAGTAAGTGGCAGCAGTCAGCGCGTCCTTGCACTTCTGAAACGCGGCCTCTGTCTCCAGTGTCTAGGGGATCTCTCGTTGCACCGTATAGGAAAAGAGCCCACCGGGTGCCACTGCCCGGAGCTGGACGACACCGTGCACCATACCCTGGCCGAGTGCACTGCATGGGCCAGGGAGCGCGGTGTCCTAGCCCTGGCAGTGGGGTGCAGGGAGGAAGAGTTATCGCTCCCGCGCATAGCCCTTGCCATGCGCGGGAGCGAGGAGGTATGGGGAGAGGCGGCCTCCTTCTGTCACAGTGTACTGTCGCGGAAGGAGGCTGCCGAATGGGAGCGTCGCCCTGGAGACCGCCGCCGGAAGAGGCGCGGGGGGCGGCGCTCCCCAGGATTGGGTAGCGAGCCTGAGGGGGCGCCGGCCGAAGAGGAGGACAGGCCACCGGTTAGACGGAGGCCGCCTCCTCGGCCGCCTCGGGCTCGACTTAGGACGCGCGGGGGGAGGGGGGTGACGGGTGTGTGAAACCCACCCGTCCCCCCTCCCTCCTTTTGAGGGAGATAAATAGGGGGAGCGCAAGGTGAGGTGGATGTCCCCTTCCTCCAAGTAATCACCGGAAGGCCAACCCAGTCGGGAAACCGGCTGGGGGTCCGCGCCCTGGACTCTCTTTGTGGGACAGGGCGCGGAACTCGATGGCATGGGGCTGCCCTGGGGCCAGGGTGTTGGGGAGGGAATGCGGGAACAGTTCCCCTTACTTCCCTCACAATGGTCCGAATGGTAGACATCCCGCAGGGGTTTTAGTCAATAAGAGTCTAACATAACCCCCGACCCTCCCAACGGATCGGGGGTATCCATGATGGATTTTCCCTACGTTATAAAAAAAAAAGGGGATCTCGTTTATCCCTATTCTTCGCATCCTTCAGATACTCGGTTAGCGGTGCTTGATACTGAGCGGCGTTCGGCAATACTCGATGGTAGTAATTCACCATTTTTTTTTGGTAACGCAGGGGAAATCCATCATGGATACCCCCGACCCTTGGGGGGGATCGGGGGTTATGTTAGATTCTTACTGACTAAAACCCCTGCGGGATATCTACCGTCCGCACCGTGGTGGGGGGAATCAGGGGAACTACTCCTGTATTCCCTTCCCGACTGGTAATAATTCACCATTCCCAAGAAGCGGCGAAGATCTGTGATGGTCTTGGGTTTCGGGAACTGCTGAATGGTCGTTACCTTATCGAGTAGTGGTTTGACACCGACCTGTAAAACGGTGCAGCCGAGGTAATGCACAGAGTCCTGTCCAAAGAAAGATTTGGTCGGATGAACCGAGAAGTTGTTCTTCTGAAGTAATCTGAGAATAGCATCAAGATGGCGGAGATGTTCTTCATGACTGTCTGAAAAGACGATGATGTCATCTACTTAGCATGCAGCAAAGCTGATACCGCGCAGCAGGCCGTTAACGTGACGTTGGGATATTTGCGTGGCGTTGAGGAGTCCAGGCGGCATGCCCAAAAATTCAAAAAGACCGAATGGCCTCGTGACAGCTTCGGTCTTCGGAACATCCTCCGGCATAACAGGAATCTGGTGATAGGCTCGGATCAGGTCTATAGTGGAAAAGACCTTTTTCCCGTGCATCTGCAAGATGTCCTCTATCCGGGGAATCGGATATCGATCTGGAACAGTCTGAGCATTTAGATGCCGATAGTCATCTGTCGTGCGTCAGCCACCTTGGTTCTTCTGCACCATGTGGATTGGACTCGCCTATTGACTGTGTGAAGGCTATACGAACCCGAGATGCAAGAGAAGGTCGAAGTCCACCTTGGCAGCGGCCAACTTGTCACCTACAAGTCGTCGTGGACGCTCAAATATTGGAAGTCCTGTGGTTCCTATATGATGTGCAATACCATCAAAGCGGATCCCCAAAGGAGTTGGCCTTGGTGCAAAGACTGCAGCGTGAAAATCCAATAGTCTGGCATATGTCTCTCGGTGCGGTGAGTCCGGAAGATTGTGCTGGCTGGTTGCGGAGACGCTAAAAATGGCAGTCTCACGTACCTGCCCCTGAATAATAAGGCTGGTCTGTGAATCCACAAGGCGTTGTCGAGAGAGGTCGATGACGAGGCCATAATGTAAGAAAAGGTCAGCTCTGATGATCGCCGAGTTCACATCGGCAATGATGAACGACCACTTGAACGCATGACGAAGTCCGAGGTCGAAAGTGAGCGGCTGCTGACTAAACATGCGGATGGCTGACGAGTTGGCGGTGAATAGCTGTAGCTCAGCAGGAGTGAGCTTCCTGTGTGTGTATCTCCGAGGAATCAGCGAGACCACGGAGCCAGAGTCGACCAAGAACTTGATGTTCGTGGTCCTGTCAAAGACGTGAAGTCGTGTTTCACCAGACGCTGATGCGCTGTCGCCGACCGCCTGTATCGACGACAGCGATGTTAGTTTCCCGTGCCACTTGCACGGGAACTTGGAATGTAAAACTGCACGGCTGCTGGCACTGTCTTGCAGCAGCACCGAAACGGCGGTGGTAGTAGCACAACTGACTGACTGGTCGTTGAGTGTGGCTGTCACGAGGACGCGACCTGGAACGCGACCGCCGACATTGAGTGAGTTGTCCTTGGTGGGCAACAACAGGCAGCAGGCACTCAAACAAGATCGTCAGATGTGCGACAGATTGTTGCATGGTCGTGGCCTCTCCTAGCCGCTGAATGGCCTAGTTGTCGGCGAGAGTAGCTCCAGTTCGACACGGTGACAGGGCACGTGGTGCAGTAACAGTGAGAACTTGAGGCACAGAAGAGCCTTCCATGAGCTCGTCTGCAACCGTCGAAAGCTCTTCCAGACAGGTTGTCCGAAGGATCTTGAGGACTCGTTGCACTATGGGTGGCAGAAGTGCTAGCCAGCGTACTCGGAGGATGTCCTGTGACACTCGGTCGCCCGCAAGCGTCCTCATATGGCGGAGGAGTTGCGAGAGCTTGCGGTTGCCGAGCTCCAAGTCCGTGAATAGACGGTGGAGCTGCTTGTCAGCTGAGTCTGCGAAGCGTGCAAGCAATTGCGTTTTGAGCGTGACATACTTGTCAATGACAAGTGCCAGACAAGATGCCAGGATGTCAGCTATCTCTTGAATTGCTTCAGAGTCGAGCGCACCGATGACGAGGTGATACCTGCTATCATCAGAGCAGATTCTGTATATCTGAAACAGTGATTCTATCTGAGCGAACCAGGCTGGCTGCTGCTTCCAGAACGGTGGAATTTTACACGCCGTGATTGATTCGATGACGTTCTCACAAAACGGGGATCCCATGTCAATGAGCGGCTCCAATGGAGGTGCAATCCCGTGAGGTACTTCGATGTGGCTCGGCCCTGCCGGTATGTCAGATGCCTGCTCGGGTCCTCTGGATGGAGGAGTGTGATGAAGCGACATTGTGTTCAACGCGCACACACAAAAGGGCAAGCACGATTGCAAGCGGTTACATCCACGATACAGATAATGTGTGCAAAGTCGTGTCATATAGCGAAGTAGGTGCGAAGGTGCACGCCAGAGCTGCCAAATTCGCTGCATTGCCCCCAAGCCCGCGCATATGGAGGGGGAATGTATGCACGCGTTGAGCCATGTCTGTGTGCGCTCGGCGTTCGGCAAGCTTCGGGTAGTAAAGAAGGAAAGCGCGATCTGTGCGATCTCTTTCTTTCCTATAATATAGCTATAGCTATAACATACCGCTAGCTTCAAGATACATGTTGATTCGCCGACGATATTTTCGCGCGGGCAAGAGAAAGAGTGAGAGAGAGCAATAATTTGAACAATCCACTCTCGGCCAATATGTACGTCTTTTTCGCAAAAGAATAATGTCATGTTACAGAAAAATAACTTATGTTAATTTAAGAGATCATTTATTATTAGCACACAAGAAATATAAAAATAAATTATGTAATTTGATTTTAAAATTATTCTAACACTGCAATTTGAAGTGTGCAAAACAAATAAATATAATGAAATAGAGCAAAATAATTTTACGATTATATGCATTAACCTATTGCACATTTATTTTGTAAATAACAACGCACATATTGTTGCTCAACGGAAACCGCGAGAAGGTGGTAGTCTCTTCTGTCAATAAGAAAATGTAAATGTATGTTCCATCAATGTAAATGAAAAAAATGTTTTCTCTATTATAATTATTTTATATATATAATAATTTTAATATATATACACATATTAAGAAAGAACATACTTTTTTACATTTTCTAAGAATATAGATAGACAAGAGAATAGATAGAAAGGTGGACAAAATAAATACAAAAGGATAGACGTAAAATATAGAAAACTAAAGGACAGAGAACAAAAGGCAGAGAACAGAGTAAATGATAGAGAAAAGAACATAGAAAAAGAAAAAGACACTAGAAATATCAAATAATTTTCGACTGTTTCGATTTTTTAATTAATATTCTCCTTAATAGTAGGTTCTGCTAAAGGTGGAATAAATAGAATAAATTTTTGTATCACAATAAAGAAACAGCACACACAAGTCATGCGTTAACAACTCAGAAAATTTCAAAGTTATACTTTTACCATACAAAAACAATATACTATTGGGTGAGTGCAAAAGTTTGTGCGGAGTTTGTGAGTAAAAGTCACACAGTGATTAGGCAAACAAAAATCTTTATTCAATCAATGATATATTCTCCATCGTTTTCTATAATCTTTTCCCAACGTTCTGGCAGCATACGGATGCCTCGATCATAAAAACTGCGCGGTTTAGATTCGAAGAACGAAGAGACGCCTCCTTCTTAAGGCCTCCAAAGAGTCAAAGTTTTTTCCATTTAAATAATTTTGCAATGACCGGAACAAGTGATAGTCAGATGGTGCGATATCAGGAGAATACGGTGGATGCGTTAAGACATCCCATTTCAGGCTCTTCAGTTTGCGCAGCGTCTTTTTCGAAACGTGTGGTCTGGCGTTGTCGTGATGAAAGACGACTCCCTTGCGATTTGACAAAATCGGACGTTTCTCTTTTATTTCTCGATTCAGATTGGTTAATTGGCGACAGTACTTGTCCGAATCAATCGTTTCGCCAGCGGGGAGAAGCTCGAAATAGATTATGCCCTTGCAATCCCACCAAACAGAGAGCATCACCTTCATCGGGTGCAAACTGGCCTTTGGCATTGCGTCACCATGCTCACCTGATTGTTTCCATGTCCGTTTGCGCTGAACATTGTTGTAGAGGACCCATTTCTCATCGCCCGTCACTAGTCGATCCAAAAACGACTCGTTATTGAACCGCCCGAGTAAAGAAACGGCTGCAGAAATTCGCTTGATTTTGTTCTTCTCGGTCAGCAAATGGGGCACCCATATATCGAGCTTCAAATCGAATCCCATCTTTTTTAAACGCCGAAAACCGTTTGATCAACCGACCGGTTGATCGGTCAACGTTTAGTGCTGTAGCAACTTCTTCTGTTGAAATTCGCGGATTATTGAGCACTAAAGTACGCAAAACATCGTCATCAATGTCAGAAGGTCGACCAGAGCGTGGTTCGTCTTCAAGGTTAAATTCTCCGCGCCGAAATTTAGCAAACCATTTTTCCACAGTTCGTTTAGCTGGTGCTTCATCCTGATAAACATCCTGAATGTTTTTTACGGTCCCGGCAACGTTTATTCCCTTCCGAAACTCGTAAAGCATAACATGCCGTAAATGCACCTTATCGATACTCATTTTTAAAGTGATATTTCTCGAAGCAGTTTGTATGAAAACAAATGATTTTTTTTTTAATAATAGCTGAAGTCGTCACCTTTCTAACGTTATATAATATGTAGATGGAAGTATTAATGACAACACTTTACGACGCTTATAACTCCATCTATTGAAACTCCGCACGAACTTTTGCACTCACCCAATATGTTGTCTGGGCAATCTTCCTTTGATAATGTATTGTAAGATATTTTTAATTTTTTGTATAATTGCTAATAATGTTTTATATCACACTCATATCATCGCACATTATAATTTTGCTAATGTCTGTTTGTATCTCCTACTTTCTATCTATCCCATTTCATATTTCCCAGATCAAAAAATAACAAGCATGAGAAGAAGGTTGCTTGCTCTAGATGAAGATTTAATTAAAGAATTAATTCCTCAGATAGGATTGCGAGCGGGTTTTTTATCCAGTTGGAAGCAGCTGGTAGCAGATACTGACCAACAAGAGGTATTATTTCTCAATGTGGCATGTTCTTTGATGCATGTTATATTTTTATTTTTTAAGACTTAAAGACGTCTAAAAAGCGTCTTATGTCCCGGTTTTGAACATGTGTGCTGTCTGAGATATTTTGTGCATGAATAATAAGTACTTTTATGGTATTGAAATTAATGTGTCCTTGAACTATTATTTGCAGGCCTGTAAGAAACGTAAGATTTTGGCAACTGGTACAGAGGACTTAGTAACTGAAATTACAGATGACACAATAAAGGGAGCACTGAATGCAAGTACTGTGATTTCTGAAATACCAGAAGCTTCCACAGAGGTAAGAAGAATTTTTTTATTTTATAATATATATTCTAATTACCTTTCAGAATGAAATATTTCTTCTTTTTTCAGATTGCACTTTCTGAGAATATTGATTCTGAGATTATTGATCCTCAACCTCTACCATCCACTTCTACGAAAAGGAAGACCGATAATATCTGTCAGCCAAGCCGACACCTTACAGCCGAGAAAGCTTGTGAAGAGTTGGCAGTTTCGGTTCGTAATTATTGTAAACAGTAAAATATAAATATATGGCACGTTCTCTGTCAAGAAGGCTAATTTTGTTTATGTGTATGTGCGTGCGGAGAGAGCCCAAATATGCACGTACTCTTTTCTTATTCCTATTCGTTATTTGGGTTGATTCTATTTGATGGTCATCCAACGCCAGACCAAATGACATACATTTTTCCTGTGTTTAGTTTCGTCGAGGATTTTTTCAATAACTATTTATTTCGAAGATTGAAATAGGAAGAAGGAATGGCCTTTTTAACACAAAGAATGTTCCTTATGTGTGTATATAATATAACATGTGTATATAATATAATATGTATATAATATAGTATATTATGTGTGTATATATTATAATATCTGATCATATTCGAAGGGAGAAACTGAAAATGTCTACATCAGAAATGTTGTTTTTTGTTCGACATTCTGGTCTCATGATTGGAGATTTGGTGCCTGAGGCGGAGGAAATATGACAGTTGTACGTTCGTCTTGTCCAAATTGTAAACATTATTACTGCTCCTTTTATTGATGGGAATGTAAATATCTATTTTGCAACTTTGATCAGCATCATGAATTATATTGTAAATTAGTATCCAAGTCATTAAAACCTAAGTACCATTTTATGGTGCACTATCCTAGGATTTTAAATTTAATTGGTTGTCTGATTCATGTATGCGAATCATCAATGCGAATGGAAGGAAAACATCGGCCAGTAGTAAAGCAAGTAGCAAAGGCAACACAATCGCGAAGAAACCTACCGCTAACTGTGGCTAAAAAATATTCTCTTAGTCTTTCTGCTCATTTTTTATCTAAACAAGGCTTCTCACCGGATATAGTTTTCCATCCTAAAGAAACAATTATAACAGATTGCTATAATTATAATGATTTTCAATATATTTTACCTCCTGGTCTTGAAAATTCTGCAGTAGTTACAAAAGCAACAATCTGTAATACTATGTATGAAAAAAATATGGTGCTTGCGATAAATTCTGATGACGATTTGCCTTCGTTCGGATTAGTGCATTGGATTGTAAAACCACAACTAATAAATAACGCAGGTTTAATTTTAATAGGATTACACTGTAGGGTTCAATAGCCATCTACACTGCTATGAAGTGACTCAAACTATGGAGTGGTTTTATAAAAACTACCATGATTTAATTTCATTTTATCCAACTTCTTATAGAATAAGAGTTGATGGCAACTCATATATAACATTCAGACATGGTCTATAATATAATATAATGTAACAAAATGTAATAAAAATATAATGTAATAATATAATATAATACAGGGTGTCCCATTTTAATCCGGCCGACTGAATAAAATTCGAGGATGATATTTTCCAGAAAAAAATGTCAGACAAGTGTTGCTTAGTTCTAAGGGGGACATTCGATGCCATCAATAGTTTTGACCTCGGGTGAAGGGTTCAAGGTCATTCAAGGTCAACTTTTTTTTCTTAAATGGGAACCCCTATTTTTCACATCCGCAATCGATTCTACGTAAAAAAAAATGAAACTTTTGTCTGAAGCATTTTTTTTTATAACGCAAACTAATTTCACTTATTCAGCTTCCAAAATTGAAATTTTCAAACTTTCTGAATTTTTTACTCGAAAATGGTGGGGTTTGGGGGGAAATTGCAGAAGACAAAAAGTTCTTGGAATGCTACAAGGAATTCACTCGAATTTTCGCATAGTTGATCGTGCACTTTTTTCGAGGTACCTCCTGACAGGTAGAACATTGGGCTGCTCGTCGATGGGTATTACGAGACAACGAATCCTGCGCAAAGACACGTATTGCAATTTCACGGGTGCGTTTGGCACGCGTGTTTCAAGGTGAATCGTGACATCAGCTCTCGATCACCGTGAAGGGAGATACTATTGAGTCGCGATACGAGCATACACGCGTGATAACATCTCGTCTACAAAAGCTAGGTTACATCGTAACGGAGAAGTGGGAGTGTATCTTTGATCGGGAGTTGCAGGATAATCAACCGATACTCGATTTCCTTGCGAATCACTCTTTGTTAGAAACTTTGTTAGAAACTGAGCCTCTCGATCCTCGCGAAGCGTTCTTCGGTGGTCGTACAGGGAACATCGTCACCCGGTGCGATGTTATAGGTACGGAGAAGATACGTTACATAGACGTATGTTCCTTGTACCCGTTTGTGCTAAAGACGGGCTCTTTTCCGCTCGGTCACCCGGACGTGTACGTGGGCGAAGAATGTTCCGCCTTGATGGTATAGCTCCCGATTTTGATTTTAGCAGAGTGGAGGGGATCGTGCGGTGCAAGGTGCTCGCTCCACGTGATCTCTTTCACCCTGTACTCCCATTTCGCGTTTGCGGAAAATTATTATTCGCTCTATGCCGTAGTTGCTGCGAGAAATTTTCTCAATCTCCGTGCACACATGATAATCCGGCAGATCGAGAATTCGAGGGTACCTGGGTATCCTCTGAAGTACGGAAGGCTATAGAGAAGGGCTATAGCGTCAGGTGAACGAGATATGGAAATATAAGATTTCGCAATACGACTCAAGTACTCGGTTGGGAGGCATGTTCGCGGGATATATCAGCTGCTTTCTGCAACTTAAGCAGGAAGCTAGAGGATGGCCTGCTGAATACACCGACGATGAAAAGACCAAAGAGCGATACCTACGGGAATACGAAAAAACAGAAGGTATTGTTCTCGATAGAAACAACATCGCGGTAAATTCGGAGTTGCCTTCGGTTGCAAAGCTTTGCCTCAATTCGTTCTGGGGTAAATTCGGTCAGCGATCTAATTTGCCGAATACCGAGGTTAAGACACGCGAACATTTCATGTCGCTGCTCACGAGTCCCGAGCATGAAATCATAAACATATTGCCCGTGAACGATGAGGTTCTATACGTCTCATGGCGATTACGACAAGAGGCATTTGTTCCCTCTGCAACTACAAACGTCGTAATAGCGACCTACATGACGGCACAGGCACGCTTGAAATTGGACGTTTATTTAGAAAAATTAGATCGTAGAGTGTTATATCAGGTGTAGTAAAAAGAAATCCATTATTTTTGCATGAAATTGAAGGCTTTAATTACCATAGTTAGAATGATCCGATTTAGGTCAAATATGCGCCGTTTTGTTCGATAACTTGTTGCCATTTGGAAGGTAATTTCATTATGCCTCTCTCATAGAAGCCCTCGTCCCTATTGGCAAAAAATTGAGACAGTCGATTTTCACAAGCCTCTCTTGAAGCGAATTTTTCACCAGCAAAATTGTTCGCCATGGACAGGAACAGATGGTAATCACTTGGTGCCAGGTCCGGACTATAAGGTGGATGCATAATAACCTCCCAACCAAGCTCCCGGAGCTTCTGGCGAGTCACTATCGATGTGTGTGGCCTGGCGTTATCCTGATGGAACACAATTCCTCTCCTATTGGCCAAAGCTGGCCGCTTCTGGGCGATTGCTTCCTACAGACGGTCCAATTGTTGACAGTACAGTTCCGAGTTAAGAGTTTTGTCGTAGGGGAGCAGCTCATAGTAGATAATTCCCTGCCAATCTCACCAAACATACAGCAAAACCTTCCTGGCCGTCAATCCTGGCTTGGCCACCGTTTCCGCCGGCTCACCGCGATTCGACCACGACCGTTTTCGCTTGACGTTGTCGTAAGTGATCCACTTTTCATCACCAGTGACCAACCGCTTCAGAAATGGGTCGATTTTGTTGCGATTCAGCAGCGATTCGCAGATGGAAATTCGGTCCATAAGATTTTTTTTCGTTAACTCGTGTGGCACCCATACATCGAGCTTCTTTTTGTATCCAGCCTTATTCAAATGGTTCCAAACGGTTTTTTGTGCAATCTTTAGCTCTTGGGCAATCGAAGCAGTGCTTACATGACGGTCGGACTCGACAATGTCCATGATTTTATCGATATTTTCGACAATTGGCCTTCCAGTGCGTGGTGCATCTTTGACATTGAAATTACCGGAACGGAATCGACGAAACCAAAATTGCGCGTGATTGGCTGTTACAGTATCAGGACCATAAATACTATTCACATTTTCAGCGGCCTGGCTTGCGTTTTCGCCTTTATCGAAGAAAAACTGTAAAATATAGCGTATTTTCTCATTGCTAGTGTCCATCTTTGACGCGCGATCAAACAAAACTGTGTCAACTAGTCACAAAACTGTCAGAAAAGTTTTTTTAGTACGAAATCTCATCTTTCTAACGCCATCTAGTGGAACCCGATCGGACTTATACAACGCGAAATACAGATAACTAAAGCCATCTATTGGAAAAATAATGGATTTCTTTTTACTACACCTGATATTATGATACTGATTCATGTATATATTTGAACACCAGTGACCCCAATGAGTACGAGACGCGGACGGGTAAATTTTTGGGTGATGTGACGGATGAACTCGAAAGTTATGGTTGAGATAACTACATAGAATCCTTTGTATCCGGAGGCCCAAAATTTTATGCCTATGTCGTTCGTACTCCACAAGGTAAAATCCATGAAGTTTACAAAGTAAAGGGGATAACCTTGAATTCTGAGACTTCGAAATATACGAATTTTAGTGGTATAAAAAATTTATTAGTCACCAATAAAATACCTATCGATGAAAACGAGGAAGATAAGAAGGAAGATGCGAGGAAAACTTCGATAAATCTACGTTTTAGAGCGATACGTCGTACAGCGTTTCACGACATTGTAACGAGAGACGAGAGCAAGTCATGCCGGTGCTCCTAAAACGTAGATTCGACGACACAGGTCACTCTATGCCATACGGTTACGTAGTAGCGTAAGAATAGTAGAGCATGTTCTTTCTCTTCCAAATCTAAACACTTATTTGTAGAGTAAGAAAAATATAAATATAAACGTTTCCCCAAAAGCGACCAACCTGTATATCGTGTATGCACTAGCTCTATAAGAAGCTTTTGTGCAAACTATGTATATATTCTATTAAAATAAAGCTTTTGCAAAATAAAGAAGAAATAAGTTTTTTTACAAATATATATATATATATATTTCTATCCTTGTATATGACCCCTGAATCACATAAAATCTTAGCAAATTATATCGCTAGAAGCAGTCTCTTTCACCCACAAGCGTTCGCTCGTACGAGCTCATTGAATGATTATTAGCTCACAGTTTCACGCTGGAAAGCTAATATCGCTAGCGGCGCTAAAATAAGCTATTCCCGCGGCCGCGAGCGCCACGTGAAAAAGCTTATTCGACGTGGCGCTTCCGCGGATATGAGCTAGCGGGACTGCGCG